ATGAAAAGCTCTTAGCACAGTGTCTGGCACATAATAAATAGTCACTAAAAATTAGCTGCTATTTTTATAAACAAGAACACAATTTATTGGAAGCCTATTGCATGCCACGGGCTCTAAGAATGTTATCTCTAATCCTGATAGCAATCTTCAGGATATTTATTGTTTGTTCCTACCTTAAAGATAAAAGAATTAAATTGCTTTTTCAAAGTCCCTTGTTTAGGAAATGTCAAAGAAAATTCCCTTGGGTCTGGAAAAATAAGGCATACAGTGTGATCAGTTCTGTGAAGAAGGGAATCCTTCAACAGCATTGCATTAATTTCCTGTGGCTGCCATGATAAATTATCACATAGTTAGTGGCTTATAACAACACAAATTTATTCTATTATAGTTTTGGAGGTCAGATGCCTCAAATCAGCCACAGTGGGCTAAAGTCAAGGGGTGAGCAGAGTCTGGTTCCTACTGGAGGTTCTAGAGGAAAATCCATTTCCATGCTTTTTCTAGCTTCTGGAGGCCATCTGCATTCCTTGGCTTAAGATCCCATCTTTAAATCACTCTAACTTCTTGCTTCCATGGTCACATCTCCTACTTCTCTGTAGTCAAATCTCCCTCTGCTTCCCTCTTTTCTAAGAATATTTGTGATTATATTTAGGGCCCACTTGGATAATCTAAGATAATTTCCCCATCTCAAGAGGGTTAACTTAACCACATCTATAAAATCCCTTTTGCCACAGAAGATAACATTAATAGGTTCCAGGAATTAAGAAATGGACATCTGCAGGGCGACATTATTTAGCCTACCATATGCATAGTCCAGGAAGATATGAAAACTAATGCAAACAAATAGTCATACTCTCAAGCAAAGAAAGACATATTTTATAAGTGAGAAACCACAAATTATACAAAGAATGGACAAACCATTTTCAGCTTCTGGGATCTGGTTCAGCTTCTTGACAGATAATTATAATAATGATGATAGCAAACATTGACATTGCTTATTATGTGTCAGACATTATTTTAAGTACCTTACTTATATAAATTAATATTCACACAAAAGGAAAGGCATCTACATTTTATAGAAGAGGAAACTAAGGTACAAAGATGGTAAGTGATTTGCCCAAGATCACACTGAACTCGCAGAGCTAGCATTTGAACCCAAGGTGCATATTCTTGATGATTTGAAATGGAACTTAATGAATGGAGAGCAGTGAGGGGGAGAGGGGAGAAAGTGAAGGTGATTAAGAAATATGAATTTCCAGTTATAAAATTAGTAAGTCACAGGGATATACAGCAAGCCTGGGAGAAGTAGTGGGAGATAAAGCTAGAGATCAAGGTCAGGCATAGAAGACTTGGAAACCATGAACAAACCCCATGGCTGAGGGGAACCTTTTGAGACACTGAACTAAAGGGAGAGGTTATCAGAGTTGAGCCTTGTGAGGAATGAGCTGGAGACAATGTGAAGGCTGGGCTGGGGAGTGGGAAGGGAGCTCCTCTCCCCTACTGCCATGGGATTTTGTAAATCATAGAATGTCCTTATGTGTCTTGCCCAGTAGGAGAGAGGGCCCTAGAGGGGAGCTGACTGTGTCATGCATCTCTGGATGCATGTGCCAGTAGATAAAACAGTAAACCACAGGACACAGTACAGCTAGAGGGCAGGAGGCAGCTGGTATGGATGCTGGGGCTGCTGCTGCCAATGGAAAAAATAACATCATTTTGGAGTCAATTTAGAGTGCTTTTACCCACATTGCTGAAGTCTTGAGCATAGTAAAAAGTACCTGGATATTTGTAACGTGGGTCTATACTCAAAATCTTGGCTCTGTCAATTGCCTCTGTAGGGGCTCTGTGGGATCTTAAGAAATTTCTCAACACCCGAAGACTTGTATTCTTAATCTTTAAAAAAGAAACAAAATTATATTTTTTGGAAATTGGTAACTTATAAGATAATAGCTATCTGGTTCAAATGCGGGATGTGACATATCCAACCACTCAAAATTATTTTTTGCATTCTTCCTTAATTTTATCATCAACTTAACTCTAGGTCCAGGTTTACGCAAAGCCATACAATGGAGTAGCCTGGATTGAATCTACGAATGTAAGATTTCCAACTACGTGCAAATCTCATAAAGGGAAATGAAGCTTAAGGGAAAGAGAGGGACAAACGTGACGACAAGTGAGCTACCTGGGCTTCAAGGACGGCGCTCACAGATTGTTGAAGAAGCCCCAGGACGCAGATTTGGAAACACCTC